ACATATACATATATGTAAGAGGACAGAACTTGCAAGATAATATATATATATATATTTTCATAATTGTTACTACAATACTATCCATGTCCATGGCCTATTAATAAATCTATAAGTCAACCAGGCAGTTGAGTATTTAAATGACTAATAGGAGCCAAAATCTAACCCACTCTCATTTGCAGTTTCTGTAGTAAACATTTCGTTAAATTGAGAAGGGGTTTATCGCTCTGACTCAAAATCAGGGACAGATTTTCAATGTTTTACCTAATATAATATCCAACTGAACCTTATTTGCATCTTCATCTCCCTCTTATAACATGTTATATTAGGATCATTTTGCTCTTGTGAATGTGAGGTTCATTAGATCTAACAAAACATGTCCCAATCATTGAAGTTCATCTTCCTTTAACTTACCCTCAATTGCTGCCACCTTTGCTTGGTTATTTTATGCAATTTTAGTAGACCGCGCATTCATCTTTCACGTCCTCATTTGTTGGACATTATTTATCTTACATGCTACCACCTTTGTTTGTTGCCCATCATCATGGTTATTTCATGCATTTTAGTATGACCAGACATTCATCTTTAATGTCCTCATTTTGATACATTCATCAGATGGACAATTTGTATTTCGGAGATCCAAGACTCAATACGACTATACTGGTCTAATAAGCATTTCATAGAACTCACCTTCTAATTTATCAGAATCTCTTTATCACTTCTCCAGTTTGTTTATCTTGCTTTGGCCTTATGCTTTAAGTTATATTTAAATCCTCTTTTCTTATTTTAATTGAATTTACATACAAGAACAATAGTCTTTGGCGAACATGATCCACTTTTATGAATTTTCAATAAATCTTAATTTTTATCGGACTGATAGTTCTGCTCAACTAAAACCTTTAAAATCCGAGCTGTTCTTCCAACTTTGAATGTCTCATGCTATGAGGTCTCATGCTATGAGATCTCATCTTGGACATATTTCATAATTGCTGCATCACAATTATTAAACATGCATCTAATAAATTAACAAGAGGAAAAAATGAGTTTTGACTTGATCCACTTGAGCAATTTTTATGATATATTATTTTCTCTTTAATTTTCATGTGTGCCAAAGCATAAGTTACTTTGAGTGATATTTTTAACATTTTTGTCTTTCAGTAGTGCAACAATTTGAGAGTTTGCCATCAGCAAAGACACAAAAGGATGAGTTGGAGCATGTGACGGCAGCCCGAGCTTTGCAAAAATATCTCATGAAGGCAAAATTGGCAAAGTTATCTTTTCCAATAAAATTTCCTACACCAGATCCAAGGCCATCTAGTACACAGCAGTCTCTGGCTCCATCATCGAAAATTCTTCCCTTCATATGCCCAAAACCTGGTCCTCGTAACAGGCCTATTTCAACAATTAACAGCAACGATGCATCCCCGAAGACTGCTAAGACAACTCAAAGCCGACTGGTAACAAAAGAGAGCCTCCTATCATTGTTGGAGAACGATAAGGTCCAACCTCTGAAGTTCCCCATGGCTAGAGCAGCACCATACGTTCCAGTCCAGCATTGTGGTCCACATCATAGAATTGCACCACCAGTGACAATACGAAATACAATTCCTGTTTTCTCTACACCACCTCTTCCTCCACCTCAGTCTTCGCTAGTGATAAGGCCCCAACCTTTGGGCATGGCACCACCTGTCTGCGTAAGACAGGCTGTTCCAGTATTAACTGCTGCTTCTGTTCGGGCAGAAGAGCTCCCAGTATTAAACCCCACTCTTCGAGGAGAGGATCCACATATTTCTAGGCCAACAATTCATGTCAAGGATCCATCAGCTACTAAATTTTCACTAGTTCGAGTAGAGGATCCATCAGGTTCTAGAGTAACACCAGGTAGACTTGACGGCTCACATTTTTTAAGCTTCCTTTCATTTCAAGTTGAGGAACCTCTTGGTTCTAATTACTGCCTGCTTCATATGCAGATGTTGAAGTTCCATCAGTTCATGTTGAGCAATCAATATTTGAAACCCCAGCCGTTCAAGTTGAGTCACCAGTCTCTCTGGTTACTACTACACCAACCATTTCAGAAGCAACTGCAGACGAGACAATAATAGCAGTGCAGGACAAGCTACTGGAGTCTAAGGTGATTGAAGACTATGAAGAGCTAAAAATATGATTCAGTACGGGATGTTTCAAATTGCAAAACCCTTTTTACTGTCTTCTTTTGATTGTGAATTATGTAGGTTAACAATTCTCTTCTTTTCGTACTCCGATTAATTTCTTTCTGTTACTTTTCATGAGGGAATCTTATGTGATGTTGAAGCTCAACTCAATAGTTAATAACTATTTTTTGTGTAGACAGTTTGCAGTATTTTCTATCACAAGCTTGATCTCGAGATTAATGCTATTCATCACACTGATCTAGGTGGCAATATGTTTACTAATTTATTACTCAATGGATTGTGGTGCATTTTACATTGGACAATGCCACCGATGATCACAAGTGAATAACGTTATTCTTAATAATGATATTTACTTATCAAAATAAAATAAAATAATGATATTTAACACCAATAGTGTTATAACACTAGTTTAGGTAGCATTAAGTGATTGACTCGGCTATAGGTAAAATTATGTGGCCCATTAAATTGTACATTATTTAATATTAGTATCACCTACACTAAAAATGCTAAATGGTATTACTCTTATTCTAATCTCGACTTAGAATAATAACACTTATGCTGCGTTTGATTGTAAGCAAGAAATTTGCATGGAAAAAAAATAAATTACAAGGAATTTAGTTGTGTAAAACTTATTTGTATGTAAATTGTCAATTAAATGTGTTTGTTTGATTTAATTTTCAACATAGAAAATATTATACTTGTCCCCTTTTTTTTTATTGATGGGTAGATGAGAGAGAAAAAGAGAGAATGAATTCTATGGAAAGTAAAATTCTACTCCACTCTAAAGAAAATATTTTACTTGATTTTAAAGAAAATATGGTCATATAGTCAAAAGTAGAAAAATGTTTTCAATGAAAAAAAATGTCAATCAAACAATACTAAAGTAGTGATTTGGATGAAAAAACACATTTTCGATGGAAAATATTGACAATCAAATGTACCCTTATTGTTTCGTTAATACATTATTAAATTAAATTAGATTTGAAATGTCCATTGCAAGTACCAAAAGAATAGTAGAAAACTGTAGTGTCGGCATTGAGTTTTGATAAGTAATAACTAGATAATTGTTGACCTCGATTTTTGTATGGATGATGTGATCAACATATTTCAACTCCATTCATGTCCATGTAGATCTTGCACACTTGGACAAATTGTCAACTACATGTAGCCTTCTTCGATAGTGGAGAGGTTGTTGCGTTCATTCCAATGTTCAATTCAATCAACTTGTATAATGTCTTTAAAGTGTTGGAATTGCTAAAGACATGAGCCATAAAAGTGTTTCAGCATTGAGGTTTTATAGGATAACAAAAATGTTACACCCCATTCATATAGATAACAATACACTAACCTATGTAAGAATAAAAATTTGATAACCCAACCTAAACATACAATTCCACATTTTATTTTTCGACATGATAAAATGAAATAAATATCTTCACAATAAGGTCCCTGCATAATCTTGCTTGATCACATATGACGTACATATAGTACATTACAACAAAATACTATATAATCAAATTCTAGCATATTTACTTTTTGGATCATGAAAGTATCTACAATGCCATTTCAAAAGTTATACATATACAATACAGGATTCCCAAAATATAATACAATAGATTGTAAGACCAAAACAACAGTCCATAAATTAACCCAACAGATCGTCATCCATGTACACCAAATTTTGGAATCCCGTAAAAGCTTCATAGCTATGTCCTTTATGAAGTTCCATTCTCACCTATAATTCAAGAACTACATAAGCTAATGTTCATAAGTAAAAATCATGCATGCTATAAGTAATATGAGTATATGTGGCCATGCCATTTCTTTGAAACATCATGCTAAAATACATCGTATTCAAATATTCATCAAAGTTAACTCGAAATAGTTTAATTTGGAATCTTTCATTTCATTGGGCCCTTAACCTACCTATCATGCACCGGATAGAGCTTTACTCAATATTAATAGTAATAGTCAATAATCAAATGACCAATATGATATCTATATAGTCGAATAGACCATCCTTTTGTGACCACTAGAAGTACATCCCCTATCTTCCTATGATCACCCAAAAAATATCTTAATTGCGACATAATAATCATAATATAATAAAGGCATAGTCAAGTAGTCCACCCTCCTGTGATCACTAAAGGCACATCTCCTATGGTAGCATTGCGATCACCCGTGAAGTCTTACCCGCGATGCCAAAACATATCATATAAGCATATCTCACATGCCTTTGGTGCCCTAGTAGTGGTCAATAAAATAATTTATGAGGCTAGATTTCTAACGATGGGTATATGTCATGTATGTACATGCAAACGCTCGTGAATGGCGTACTCCACCAAAATAGATGTCAATATGTTTCAAAATCACGTACTCATTGTAACCATCATATGATATAAAATGAACTCCTTATCAAAGTTCTATGAATGTTACAACTCATTAAAATTAATTTTCCAAGCCCATTATTGGAGAAGTAAAAGTTGGTAAATGTTGGAACTACACAACTATCAAATTGGAAGAATCTATTTTAGTTTTGTATCACTGTCCAATTATTTTTTTCAGCCTCTTTTCACACCCTTAATATATATATATATATATATATATATAAGGCCCAGGGGAGCAGGGATAGAAAAAGAACAAAAATTTGTGAAAATAGAGAAATTTTATTGAAGAAGAAAATTATTACAAAGATTCTTGAAAATGAAAATATATTTGAGAGACAAATTATGAAGAAATCAGAAACTTCTTCTTGCTGAATTCGCTTTGCCTTCAACTGATCACTTGAAGTCTTCTTATAATGTAGTCCGGACTTGAAATTTCTTTCATTTGAGAGAAATAATCTTGAAAAGAGAGGCGGACGACATTATCATGAAGCATCTTGAAAAGTAGAGCCAACTTTTGACAAAATTTTCCAACTTTTCACTTTCTTTAATAAAGATATCTTTTTCTTTATTAAAGTGGAGATTGATGTTTTCCACAAATTTGATTAGTATCTTGACAAATTTTACACCATTGATTTTGAACATGACAAAGATTGAGCATCATTTCTCTTGATCTGTAAACCCTTGAATTTCTCAAATCATCAAGAAAACTGGGTCTATGTAGTCATTTTTTTTGAAGCTTTTTCTTGAGCAAGAAATTCTGCATAGTCATCACCTAAATCGATTAAGTCATCACCATTATCAGTTTCTTGAGAAAATTGAGATTCTTCTTGTTCATCAGCTGATTCTTTTGATTTTGAAGATCCTAATTTAGAAATTTGTTCGTAAATTTCTAATAATTCTTTTGGATCTTTACATTTTGATAACATTGAAATAATCCTTTGTTTTTCCGTTAGGAAATCTGCTTGACTTTCTTGTTCTTGTTTTGAGAATTTAGGTACGCCTAAATTTCTTTGTTCTTGAATCCATGATTGAACTGCTTTGGAACAGCAATTTGTTTCTTTGAACTTTGACCACCATTTGATCTTGAAACGTCTGTGATCTTTTGACAAGTGAAATCATCTTTCAGATTTTGATATTGAAAGAAATCCCAGCAAAAAATCCAAGAAACTTTCATATTGAATGCAAACTGAAACAAAAGATTTTCTTGAAACTTCAAAAAAGTTTTTGCTTCATTTTTGAAGTATTCATATCCTTGAAGAGAGAGACTGAGCAAAATTTGCTCTTCAATTCCATGATACAGGAACCAAGTTTGAAACCAACTTGGAAAATGAGGATTACAATTTTGATTAAAAAGAATAAACCAAGAACAGGTAATAGGTCTAAAAAGAAAAACTTTATACCAAGCATTTTCGTAATCAAAATAATTGAAAGTTTCTTGAGTTGTGAAAAATATTTTTGAGAGACGAAGTCTCTTTTCTTCCCAAAGATTTTGTCCCCAGTCTTCGTAAAACAAAACTCTTGTATTACTGATTTTTGAAAACATGATTTTTGATTTGTCTTTTGGTTCAGGAGTATGAGAAATTATGGCTGATCCAGTCAAAAGAAGGATAGTCTCATAATATTCTCTGAATTTTTGAATATTAGAAGGCATGAACCAAAAATTTTGAGGAAGGATACTTGATAGACATTCATCAAGACCTTTATATCTATTGAGCCAAGAGATTTCCATGTCAAGGACAGTTTCAGAAATATTCTTGGTAAAGTATTTGAAGGTATTTGGAGGGTTGATTTGAGGGAGTTTTTCAGTGCTTTGGATGACTTTTTTGTAGTTTGAAGGGTTTGATGATTCAGCCTTTTGTTTGAATTTTTGATCTGATTTTTTTTACAAAGGTTGAAAGAGTATTTGAAGAAGATGAAACTTCTTTTTGATCTTTTGAGAGATCTTCAAAGAAGGGAGTATAATTTTTCTTCTTTCTTGAAATTTTTGTTTGAAAAGGATTTTGATCCTCTTCTTCAACTTGCTTTGCCCAACTCATTTTCACTCTTTTGAATGAACTCTCTTGTGAGGAAGTCTGCCAAGAAGTTCGATTTTCCTTGAATATATAGAATTTCAAAATCAAAACAGGACAAAATAGCCTGCATCTTGCAAAGATTTATTTTGAAACAAGATTTTTTACGTCTTTTTGCAAAACATCTTTTGAATATTGAAAGAAAGGGAATATTTTTGACCATCTTTTTGATTTTTTGAATTGCATGCGTACACTCATGATTCCATGGGTCAAGGTTCTTTTGTAATCTTTTGAATAATGGGGCACAGACTTGACGTATATTTTTGACAAAATCGGCTACATAATTGACACAACCTAAAAAGTGTTGCAAACTTGTTTTATCTAAAATTTCATCTGAAAAATTGTTAGTGAAATCTAGACTTCTTTGAATTGGTGTGATTGTAGAATTTTGAATAAAATGACCAAGAAAACGAATTTTTGTTTGAAATAAAACAATCTTTTAGCAGAAACTGTTAAACCATTTTGCTTGATGACATGTATGAATGTATGAATATGTTTGAAATATTGTTCTATACTTTGTGAAAAGATAAGAACATCATCAATATACACAATAATGAAATTTGAAAAGGGAGCCCCAATAAAAAAATATTCTTGTGTTAGGGCCTGTGCCTGGTCAGAAATATAGTGAAATCACCTTTCCTATTCTTTCCTTCTCAACAACTAAGAGATCCATTCGAGGAACATGGGGACTAGTTGAAGTAATGAGCCTCCCAATAGTGTCA